GTAGATAAAACTAAAAATAAAATATTGCAAAGGCTTGTTATGATTGGAGCCATCTCAACAGCCCATAATTTTATACTGTAGTGGAAGTATAGAAAGCTAGCCTGAAAGAGTATGTCGTAGTTTTTCTATGAACGCAATTAGCATTCGACCAGCCCGCATATTGTAGAAATGCGGGCTTGGCAATAAATAAATTTTTTTTAAATATAATTTGATCCTAATTTTAAGAGGAGTAATGATCATACCCTCCCACAGTTATGTGTGTAGGACCTCAAATGATCACCATTAAATTTGGTACAAATCTCTAGAAAAGTCAAGTCCTACACATATGTAATAACTTTTTTAGAGATATGTACGAAATTTAATGATGATCCTTTGGGATCCTACACATATAGGTGTGGGAGGGTCTCAGAGGACCATTATTATTTTAAGAGTATATATAATATTTAACATGTAGATCATTTTTAAAAAAATCTAAAAATAATAATTATATTAAAAAACATTTAGACCTTTAGCTTGACCACCTATTTGCATCCATCTTTAAGGGCAAGGTTTCTATGCTTACCCTATAGCATAGAAGTTCTATCCTCCCCTTATCCAACCGTCTATTTTGAATGGAGGGCTGAGATTGCAATGTCTCTATACTATTTGATTTTTAATTTTTTTCTATAAACTATTTTGACACCAAAATTTGGATGTCCATTCCTCTATTAAATTCGTACTAGCGAAAAATATAAAAAAAATATTTTCAATAAAATAAAATGATAAAAGTACCTTTAAAAGTTTCAAGAGGTATTTTGATCATTATATTTTATCAAAAAATTATTTTTAATATTTTTTATAGATGCTCTCAATGAGAAGATGATACGTACCAAATTTCATATTTATACAATTTGTATAAAAAAAACTAAAAATAAAACACTTTAAAACGTTGGATCTAAGATCAAACGATAAATATCTCTCTCGATCAAAATTAAACTGTTGGATGGTAACGGGAGGATAGAACTTCTACGCCGGAGGCGAAGCACATAAACCTTTCCCATGAAAATGGATGTTTTATACTTTGTACCGCATTTTGAAAAAATGCGCTCCAGCCCCACGAAACAATTGATCTTTTCCTATTGATATATTCGATATATGAAAAAGCGGACAAAAAGAAAAAAAATCCGTACTATCATTAACGCGGCGGCGGTTCGACAAACGCGGCACCTGTTCGCGGCAACGGGACAAACATGGTTACGGCTGAGGCTTCGCGATGAAAATGACAGCCTACCCCACGCAAAAAACATTTTCCGGGCCGGGCCAACATATGTACACATTGCCGCTTGCTTCGCAAACCATTTCCATTTCCATTTCCATTTCCATTTCCATTAAAAAGAGAGAGAGGGATACCATTATTTGAACTCGTAATAGGGTAGAGTGTAATAGGGTAGAGAGAGAGTCAGTATAATAGGGTAGAGAGCGAAAGTGCCAGATCATCTGATCCTATAAATAGAGAGCGAGAGCCTGAGGTCTTTTGGTTGTAGCGAGAGAGGGAGAGAGAGCATTTTGCGTAGTGTAGAGAGGGAAAGAGAGGGCAATGTCAAGCGTGGTAGTGCCTGAATCGGTACCTTCACCAGCCGATGACTGTGAGCAGCTCAGAGTAGCATTTGCAGGTCTCTTCCATTTTTGCATCTGCCTTTGCTTTACATTACTTGTACTTCTTTTATAAGCTCTTCTAATTCTTGATCCTTTCCATTGGAGATGTGATTTTTAGTTTTTCATTTATACTTTAATTTTGTCAGAATTCTTTTTTTTTGTTTATTATCTAATGACTGATTTTCTCACCAGTTCCTAGCAATTCTCCCAGAGTGTATAGATTTGTGTGATTTACTTTCATTTTACTCCATTACTTATTGTTTTGTTAGGTTCTAATTATTCATTTGTATTCACCATTTGATGACTTTTTTAATTGTTGCTGATAGTCTATTGTTCCTCTCCTGCTTTGATCATCTGATCCTTCACAGTCAATTCACATGTGTGCCCTTTTTTTTCAGTTTGTTTGGCTCTTATTTGAATCTTAATTTGTGATCTGGGGTTAATGGACTTTTTCATACTGTTCATTACTAGTTTTCCCCTTCGTAGTATTATTATTTGACTTATTTGACCAAATTTTTGTTCTTTTTATATTTAAATTTTCTAAATAATGATGAGCAATGTGTATTCTGCTATTCTTTAAACAGGATGGGGAACAAATGAGAAGTTGATCATTTCCATATTGGGCCACAGGACTGCTACCCAACGGCAATTAATTCGTAAAACTTATTTCGAGCTCTACGGAGAGGATCTCCTTAAATCACTTGATTCTGAAGTCTCAGGAGATTTTGAGGTCTTTTTGCTAGTCTTAATCATTCTAGAAATAAGAAATGAAATGAAATATTCAAATAAATCATCATAAATGGTTCTTACATATATAGATTACCAATTTGTTCATGGGAAAGTGCATCATAGTCTGGTATGTTAAGCTAATTCCACTGTCAGTTCCATCTAATGGATGAGAGGGAATAAGCCTTAGTCTCATTTATACAATATTATTATTTCCTTTGTTCACATGATTTTTTGTAAATGATATGTCAAATGTGTAGAGGGCACTGCTGCTATGGACATTGGATCCTGCTGAAAGGGATGCATTAATGGCAAATCAAGCTTTGAGGAGGTGGAATCCTGAAGATCGTGTGCTTATCGAAATTGCTTGTGCAAGATCTTCTGAGGAGCTCCTTTTGATTAGACGTGCCTACCATGCTCGGTTCAAGCGATCTCTTGAAGAAGATGTGGCCCAACACACAACTGGAGACTTTCGTAAGGTGTAATCTCGTTCATTGCTATCAAATTAAGTTGATTGATGTCGTTAAGATTCTTCTATACTTTGGGTGCAAAATTTATTATGTTATTATTAGTTTTCTTTTTGTGTTCTTCTTTGCAATTAAAAATTTTCTGTTGATGAATTTCTTTTTTGTTTTCAACTTCTAATTATATAAATTCTTTTTGTAGTTCCACGTTATGTTGATTGGCATTATTTGCTTCTGTTGATCTTTGGATGTATGAATTTTTGTTTTTGTTCTGCTTTGGATGTTTTAATTTTTGTTATGGTTGTCTTAACTTTTTTCTTTTATGATAGTAATGATACATTCATATTCAGCAAACAAATTATGTTCATTGAGTTTATGTGCATTGTCATTGTTCAAGGCTTGTTACCTATGGCTACAGCTTTATTTCTTTGGGGCTCGCACTCAACTGTAATGTCCTCTATGATGTTCAAATGTCAGTCATGGGCTCCAACTGGGGACCTTGTTTCATTTGTTTTTCTTTTTGAAATGGTATTTTAGTTTGATACTTATTAATATACGAAATAAAAGTCTCGGGCTACTTTCAAGGAGAAAGTTTTTCTTCCATGCAAGTTTAACAAGTTTTGATAGTTAGTTTTGCACTAGGAGTTAGTTCTCTAAGTTTATGAGCTTCCCCAAGTTTATGAACTTCCCAATTTATTTTGTATTTGCTGATGCTGAAACATGCTTCTGTTTTGCCCATTCAGAATAGGTGTGGCTGAATGATTTTTAATGTGCTCTGTTTGTCCAAGGCAGGTTGGGATTTTTTTTTGCTTGCCTATTTTTGGAATATATCAATGTCATAGAGTGCGATTATTACCAATTTGGCCGTTGCAAAATTAGCAGAACCATTGATAACTTTTGTAACCATGCTTAGAAGTGTTATTGTTGAATGGACTTCCATAAGGAACCTCAAACCTAATGGGTAGAAGGTTTTAAGGAAATCAGAATTATTTCTTCTTAGTCTATTCATATCTAATAGTTCTATTCTTTTCTCAGCTGTTGGTACCTCTTGTGAGCTCATATCGCTATGATGGACAAGAGGTAAACGGGCATTTGGCAAAATTGGAGGCTAAGACACTAAAAGATGTGATCAAAGACAAGGCTTTCAATCATGAAGAACTTGTCAGGATCCTCTCAACAAGGAGCAAAGCACAGCTGAATGCTACACTTAATAACTACAAGGATGGATCTGGGATGCAGATCAATAAGGTAAGGAAACCCACAAGGAAATCATTTACTTTTATAGCATAAGGATTTAGTATGTAACTTTGGTGATAATACTTTAGCTTGACAAACTTGGGTTATCTTTTGATCTTCTAACCATTTACTACTTCATGCCATGTGCACTACATGAAACAATTCTATGAAAATAAATGTTTAAAGAAAGCTTAACTAAAATGTAACTCTTAGAGGCTGCGGTTAGGTAGCAACAGCTTTAGCACAACGATATTGGAGTTTGGATTCAAGTTTATCCTGACTAAAAAGAACAAACTAGAGAACACAAAAAGAAACGTAGGGTACATTTGTTGGAAGTAAAGATCAACAAATGCCAAGGGAAATTTCTAACCACAAAATGCACAATAAACTTTGCGTATTTTTTCTTTATGAAGCATACATGTTGATTTTAATTGAAAGTCATCATCATCATCGAAGCCTTATCCCAATGAATTGGGGCCGGCTGCATGAAATCCTGTTCTTCCGTTTTTCTCTATCAAAGGTCAGTAAGATCAATAACATAGGCTTAGGATTCATGATAAGATGTGGCAGATTTTTATGCTGGCTGTTTACCTAACGTAACCCACCTCCTTTACTCGGGCTTGGGATGGGTTAAGGGAAAGTTTAAAGTCCTCACCCTTCTTAGACCATTTATTTTAATTGTAAGTAAATGTTATCAAGTAAAACTTGTTCTTTCAAGATAGGATGGGGTTTTTCTTTCTGTCTGTAAAGATGCAGTTGTGTATCCATTTCTTTGTTTTTTGAGAAAGTGTTTCAGAGCTTCTCATTCTAGTAATCTGTAGGTACAAGAAAATTTAAGGCAGTTGTGGAAATAGGTGAGGTGCAAGTATGGTTGTTGCAGAGAGAGAATTGGGATGGGAATGACATTCCTTTACAGTTGACACTGCTAGTGTTGGAATATATTTTTTTGAGCAAGTGTTAAGGTAATGGAATATAATTTTTTGCATAACATGCGGAAATCATGGCCCATAAGTCTCATATGGAGGAAAGGAAACTACCTTGCCGAACATTTGTTATGCAGAGAGAGAGAGAGAGAGAGAGAGTTGTTAAGCAATACATACAAGGTCTTGAAATTTTTGGATGTCACAGGACCTGAAGGGTGACGCTGAGGATAAGTTCCAATCTGCAGTAAGAGCTGTTGTCAAATGCATCACAAAGCCTCAGAGCTATTTTGAGAAGACACTTCGTCTGGCGATCGTCAAATTAGGCACAGATGAGGTAGCCCTCACAAGAGTGGTTGTGACTCGTGCCGACGTGGACATGAAAGACATCAAAGCGGAATACCACAAGAGGAATAGCACCCCTCTCGATCGTGCCATTGCCAGTGACACTTCAGGAGATTATAAGAACTTGCTTCTCACCCTAATTGGCCATGGAGATATTTGAGATCATTTCAATAAATATATATGTATACTTTCCATTGAAAGAGGCCTTTGTTTGGACAATGTGGTATTGAGTGTTCAGTTACTATATGATAATTATAGCTGAAGTGTCTTTGAGTGTTTGTGATGCTTTTGCAGTTGCTCTATTGTAATTTGTGTGTTTGCAGGTTTTGGTTCACATGTTGTTATGTTCAACCAGTGGTTATCAGAGATATTTTACGGATGTTATATAATAAATAGTGTTGGTGGTTGAAAAGAATCATGGGCCAACTTTCAGCTTTCATGGAATCATTTGGTACCAGTTACCAACTTGATACACATCTTGGCTTCATTGCAGAGATTTGTAAGGATATTTCAATTCTTATATTATTTCAAATTACTTGTATGCATATTTTTATGGGAAAGTATACAATGAAACTATTTAGCTCACAACTAATCTTGATCATAAGATGTAAAATTGGATGGCTAGTTTGTTCCATTGACTAAATCTAAAAGTTCAAAAGATTTTTATTCAAACTTTATGATGCGTTTAAGTTATCAAATTTCATATTGGATAGTTCTAGGGAATTGTGACCTCCTTGTATGAAAAGTAAATGGCTTACAATTTTGTTTTTTATAAATGCTTGAGGGTAAAAAATATGGAAGCCGAATATGTAAACAAAAATAAAATAAAATTGAAAAATTTAAACTTGCTCTGAACTTTTATCTTTTTTTAAAATGTGATGCATCAAATATTCTAGACCTATCATGGATGAGCTATGATTTCTACATCTCATTCATTTAACAAACTCTACCATATCATTAACGAAAACTTCAACAAATAGTTGAAATTGGCTAATTTTCAGATTTCCTAATTTATAAAATTTTAGTTTAAAGGAAGCATAGTTTTCCAAAATCCCTATAATTCTTGATTAGTTAACCAAGTATAATATTTTTCTTGCTCAATTTTCTGCCTATTTGATTTCAAAATTAGAAATCTCAAATTCTACTCTATGCTGCATTTGCTAAACGGATTAAACTCTCTTTCTGGACGTTGTTGCTATCCAATGTTTCATGACATAGCCAATTCCACTTGGATATGGCCTAGTAGCTCGGCCTTGGTCTGGTGCCAAGTTTGAGTTGGAGGGAGTTCTAGTTCATCTGGCTCCACTCTTGAAAGGGGGTAAAAACAGAAAAGAAAAAATTAAAAATAGGAAACGCCATTATATCGGTTAGAAGGAAGTTTTTAGATAATTTTCCTAGTTTTTAAAATGATTTGAAAATCCCCATTTTCTCTTTTTTAATTATTTTTCCAAATATTCAAGGTTTAAATAAAAAATTCCAATAATCTATTTCTTATAGATTTTTTTTTTTTATATCATATTTTCAAGTCTCCTAATAATTCTCTAAACTCTCTTATCTTTTCTTTATTTTAAACAATTTTTTGAAATAAATTTGTTTTTGACCTTTTTAGATTTTTAGCCTGTACATGACTCAGACCTTGATAAAATCTTTGTGAAGAGCTAATATGCCGTTTATAAATAACAACGAAGGCCATTTTTAATTTGTGTTATTTTCAAATATGCCCTTCATTGTACCGATTTAAGAAAGTAGAGCAAAAGGTTGCATAATAAAATTCAATTGCGCCTTTCACATTATTTTTGTGTGGTCTCCCTACAAAATATATTTCAAAGATGTACTTTCGATCTAAAATTTTAAGGTTCGATAACCTCAACAGTGACAATGATATAAATTTGAAATTTTTTTTTAAAAAATATAAATATTTTTTGAATTCCTTTCTTCACAGTCCATTTTAACTTCTAGGGGATGTTACTCCTTTGACGTTCATCTTAGAGATAGACATTAACTAGACAAGGGACTGAAAGGTAATAGGTAAGTCGGCTGACTCACCAAAACCGCATCCCCTTTCGAAAGCTGAACAACTAGGGCCAAAAATGTCACTTTGCTTAGGCAGCTTAAATTGTACAAACAGACCAGGTTGCCCCTAACAGTTCAGTATTACGAGGACCAAGTTGCACTTTTACAGGAAGAAGCTACGCTATGTGCTTCTATTAATTGTCTTCAAACCACTTAATTTCAGAAGAATGATTGGATCGACGAGCCATTTTGTGAATAAATGGAATATCTGTTCTAATGAAATAAGGTAAAATTACTAAAACACCCTATATTGTTTAGCTTCTCGATGTTGAACAAAAGTAATTAGGAAATTTTTTAAAATTATTTTGAGGAAGTATCTGATTGATATACTGAACTTTTAGAACATACCCTTTAAGTGAAAGTTGTAGTCTTTTGACCGTTTTTATGATATTACAAGCAGGGTCAACTCCTATTTTGATTTTTCCCCTTTATAATTTTTGCAAAGAATGGCAAGCTGCGTGTGGGCTAAGGTCGCGGCCTGCACAGGGTCAACTCTTAACTTTCACCTCTTCTATTTCTAATCCTTGGATGTGAGACTAATTTTCGACTCAGCACAGAGGGAGAGGGGTGGTAATTCCATCATGTTTGGTTTTTCCATCATGTTTGTTGATAGCCTAGAAGCTGCTCTCTTGAACCCTGAAATAAATCAACAAATAAGTAGGGTGCCCCACCACCTGTCTTAAGTAGGACCTCATAACCGACCGACAATAGGTGTTGGAGCTCCAAAGTTCACTAGTGCGAGTGCAGCCAGCATGCAGAGCACCGCATAATGATGAAACGTTCCTCTCTTCGCAAATGTGCATGTCCTTCACTAGGCCTTCTCTCGAAAGGGCAGCTTCTCATCCATCGTTTTTTGAGGTTATTTTATGTACATATCGTGGATGAAGCTATGTCGAAGGTTTACCCTTCCTCACAGGTTACCTCTTCCATGTGGGAACACATTTTCCTTGCACCGGGCACGTGCACACACCAACTTCAACCAAGGAATTACCCTTAAATCCTCATAAGAATTAGACAAATTGGCAAAACTCAGTAGTCAAGAGCATTGTAACTCAAAGACAACTCTTTCAAGCTTCAAACCGCCTAGGCCCGATGAGTCAAAACAGGTAGGCAAACGAACCATCTGTCTCCTTTTGGGGCTTGAGGCCCTACTGAAGCCAATAACACAGTATATGGGCATGGGTTACATACATGTTAAGGCCTCAAGAAGCCAGATAAATTCAATAGGTTTGTAGTCAACTATGCCTTTACATTCTCCAAATACTTTTCAATCATGGACTATATATGGGAATGTGATTTCTGAGAAGATTAGCCTTTACCTAATAGGCTAGGCTAGCCTTCTTACTAATAGTATTCCTTTAATCTCCCATTGATTGAGGTCATTGTATCTTCTCTATTTTTATTACATAGGAGAAAAGCACTGCAAGAATAGACCCTTTTGGTAATATAGGGACCATCCAATTTTGGTTGGAATTTGCTTCTTGGTGCACCAACACAGTCAAGACTTGACCTCTTTATTGAAGGCCCAACTCATTCAAGTCTGATATGCCTCGAGATTTTCTTTTGCTTAGACTTGCTTCTCTTCTAAAGTATCATGCTCTACCAAGTAATTTCGAGCACATCCGATGTGCAACTCTGAGAGATAGTAGGGCTACTTCTCCACAGTATATGAGGGGAGTCTTGAGCTTCTCACGCCTATCCTTTTAACTCTTTCTTTTATTATTTTCTTGAAGATTTTTTGCACCGTCTTATTAAAGGCCTCAGCCTGACCATTCACCCTTTGATTGTACATAGATTTGTACTTCCAATCAAAAGCAAAATTTGGTGACCATATGATTATTAAATGGGGAAACATTATCACTATGATAATTTCGAGTGTCTGATAAAATCGGTGATAATTCTTCTAGTCACTTGGTTTAGAGGGATCATTTCCACCAATTTGGAGAAATGCTAAGTGGCAACCAGAATATAGAGATGGTCACCAATTGATACCGGGTTGATCCAAACACATCCATCACCCACTAAGAGAGGCCACGAAATACAGCTGTAGGATGCAATGGTTCAAGTGCTGGTGTTGAAAGCCTCTTGTATCTGACCAACACAATACCTTTTAGCATGCGTCAAGGAATCCCCTACCATAGTTGGTCAATAATAATCCAGGCACCTCTGTCTGTGATATAATTTAGGGCCGGATTGGTGCATCACTAGCATGTGCTTCCTCCAAGGCCAATTGTGATTCTTCCATATAAAGGCAGCGTAACAGATTCCCATCATAGGGCGTCTTATAAAGGATGATGTTGATTCATATGAATCTGGTGCCCTTGCCCTTGCCCTCTGAACATAGGGCGTCTTATAAAGGATGATGTTGATTCATATGAATCTGGTGCCCTTGCCCTTGCCCTCTGAACATAGGGCGTCTTATAAAGGATGATGTTGATTCATATGAATCTGGTGCCCTTGCCCTTGCCCTGCCTCCAGAGGGCATGTTTTCCTTTTGCTCAAGTAGAAGTATCCCGAATGTAATCGAGGAGCCGATCTTCCCCAATTATCTTAGTGCATGTGACTACATTTGCTTGGGCCCTCCAAGCAAGTCTCAAGGCCCTAAGTTTTTTATGTTGGGTAATCTATGTCCAACTCTACTATCTACAATAGGAGGCAGACCCCATTCCTGAACCAACATGTAGGTATGCTCCCTGTGTTGTGAGGGTAAAGCATCATTCTGGAGGCTGCGTGGTATAAAAGTCAATGTGAAGTACACATAGGAGGAACTTAGCTATATTGTGATATGGCACCAGCACTGCTTTTCGAAATATAGTATATATATATATATATATATATATATATATATATATATATATATGAAAAATTCTTTTCAACGTCTATAAGTAAAAATGAATAGTAATTTCGTCTATCCTCATCATCATCTAAATTTCATTACACGTTCACGATTATCCGGTAGTGTTTCATTTTTTATTTATTTTTCTACAAATTGGAATGATCCGAAATTTGGAGGATATATACATCTTACTGAGGTGCATCTAATAAAACTATAAAAAAAAATTATCCGTAAAACTAAATTGACCAAAATACCCCCAAAACTTTCAGTTTTTTCCATGTAAAATATTTGTTTTATAATTTTCAAAGATTCCCCTATTTTTGATGTATACATGCTCAAAATTTAAGGTCATTTTAATTTGTAAAAAAATAATGAAAAATGAAACACTACCAGACAATCGTGACCGCACAATGAATTTTAGACGATGATGGGAGTAGGCGAAATCATTGTTCATTTTTGCCTATAGGCATTGCGTAGAGTTTTTCGAAGATACTATTGTTAGCCCA